CAGTAGAACAGTCCTGTTACAGTAGGGCCTACAGTCCCAGTGCAGTAGAAGTAGATCTATGTACCGTAGTAATCTATGAAGTAGATATTGAGATGTAAATCTATGTAATGCAGCTGTATGTCAGGCTGGACACAGATGCTCCTCCCAGCGCAGGGTGGACTGGGAGGTCACTGCAGTCCCACACGCTGGCTGTGTGGAAGGATCTCCTCCAGGATGGCGTGTCTCGGGCCGGGCCAGGTCTGGTTGGGCCTGGTCTCTGCTGAGGCGGGTCACAGGTTGAGGGAGGAGTATTCCGTCTGGGAGAGGAGGAGGGAGTGGAGTCAGGAGTGTCAATGTGACAGTGTGTCAGTGATCTGTGCTGGCTGGACTGGTGTGGTTCTGATCTGTGCTGGCTGGATCAGTGTGGTTCTGATCTGTGCTGGCTGGACTGGTGTGGCTCTGATCTGTGCTGGCTGGATCAGTGTGGCTCTGATCTGTGCTGGCTGGATCAGTTTGGCTCTGATCTGTGCTGGCTGAACCAGCATGGATCTGATCTGTGCTGGCTGGACCAGGGAGGTTCTGATCTGTGCTGGCTGGATCAGTGTAGCTCTGATCTGTGCTGGCTGAACCAGCATGGATCTGATCTGTGCTGGCTGGACCGGGGAGGTTCTGATCTGTGGTGAGAGGACCGGAGAGGCACTGCAGTGTGTCAGTGTATCAGAGCCTCACCTCGCTATGCTGTATGGACCGGGACGGTGCTGATCGGTGCTGTCTGGACCGGCTCGGCGCAGTGGGTTCTGGTGGTCCTCTGTGCTTCTTGGGAATCAGAGGGGCTGGCGGGGCTGAAACCACAGACACAGGAAACAGCCCCATTACCCACTGCAGAGCCCAGCCAGCCTTCAACTGACTGACAGACAGGGAGACAGACAGGCAGGGAGACAGGCAGGCAGGGAGACAGGCAGGCAGGGAGACAGACAGGCAGGGAGACAGGCAGGCAGGGAGACAGGCAGGCAGGGAGACAGACAGGCAGGGAGACAGGCAGACAGGGAGACAGACAGACAAGCTGATGGACAGGGAGACAGACAGGCAGGCAGACAGGGAGACGGACAGGCTGACAGGCAGGCAGGGAGACAGGCAGGCAGGGAGACAGGGAGACTGACAGGCAGGGAGACAGGCTGATTGGCAGGGAGACAGACAGACAGGCAGGGAGGCAGACAGACAGGCTGAAGGGCAGACAGGCTGACGGGCAGGGAGACAGACAGACAGGGAGGCAGACAGACAGGTTGATGGGCAGGGAGACCGACAAACAGGCAGGAAAACTGACAGACAAGCTGAAGGGCAGACAGGCAGACAAGCTGATAGACAGGAAGGCAGTCGGGAAGACAGGTAGTCAGGCAGACAGACAGGCAGAGCTGCTCACCTCGTCTCTGCCGAGCCCTGCAGGCGCACAGGACGGCCACCACGGCCACCAGCAGCAGGACGGCCGTCAGGGGGATCAGGAACCCCAACAGCGGGCACGCCCCTGGAACGACACGCAGAGTCCTGAGCGGGCGGGCGGGCGGGACAGGGTGGGGGGGCAGGAGGAGGGGGCGCTCCTCACCCTGCTCGCTCTCGCTGTCCTGCTGTGTGCGCTCGGCCTGGACGGAGGAGTTGTCCCCGTAGCGCAGCTCACAGACCACGCGCTGTCCCCGCAGCCGAGACGAGGGGACGGACAGGAAGGAGGACACGGTGAACACGTCCTCTTCGTCGAACAGCCACCCCACGCTCTCGCTCTCGGGGTCCAGGGGCGTCAGGGGGGTGCCCTCTGCCCCCACTCTCCAGAGAGGG